AGAGAGAGGGAGATACAGAATCTGAAGCAGGCTCCAGGCTCTGAGCTATCAGCACAGAGCCCAACGCAGGGCTCGAACTTGCGAACCGTGAGATCATGACCTGAGCTGAAGTTGGACATTTAACCTACTGAGCCACCCAGGCGCCCCGATTTAAATAACGTTCTTAACATGAATGATATTTCAAATAATCATTCATCAGGCTATCAAAGTACCAGAAAATCTTAACGAATTTTAAAACGTGTTGCACAAGACACAATTCTGTATGCAATGCAGCAACTTTAAGAAGAAACAATAAAAATATAGACCCAAACCTCAAAACAATAGAAAACAACTCCCCAAACATATTTATGTGAACATGCAGGAAAGCTTTTAAAAATAACTCTTAGGTTAATGGAAACTTATAATTAAACAAACAAAAGAACGGTGAAAGCACCAATTATCAAAATATGTGGTCTGAAGTCAAGTACATAGGAAATATTTAGTCTTAAAAAACACTTATTATTAGAGGATCACCTGTGTGGCTCAGTAGGTTAAGTGTTCAGCTTCAGCTCAGGTCATGATCTTGAAGTTCTTGAGTTCAAGCCCCACTTCCAGCTCTGTGCTAAAAGCTCAGAGCCTGGAGACTGCTTGGGATTCTATGTCTCCCTCTCTGTCCCTCCCCGCTTGCACTCTGTGTGTGCCTCTCACTCTCAAAAAATGAATAAACATTAAAATAATTTATTAAACACTTACTAGAAATATTTTGTTTTTATATTTAAGCTCTATTTTGTTTTAGGCTTATTTTTATTTTTTGCTTAAAAGTTGCTTTCATTGACTATTTTGATTTGTTTGGTACTTCCTCATATTTTCTCTATCTCTTTGTTGAAGTTCTCTTTGTGTTCATCCATTCTTCTGAGATTGGTGAACATCTATGTAAACATTACTTTATCAGGTAAATTACTTATCTCCATTTTAATAAGGTTTTTTTTGGGTTTTATTTTATTTTTCCACTCATCTGTTTCCTCATTTGCTTGAATCCCTGTGCTTGTTTCTATGTATTAGGAGAAACAGCTACTAAGTGGTAGGAAGAGTAGTAGTGTGTTTCAGTCTACTGTCTGTGCAGAGCCCTGGAGGTGGCAGCCTGCCAAAAACTGTCTCTCCCATTGTTTTAGTCCCATGAGGCAAGCTTCCCTGGCTACCAGAGTCAGGTGTTCAAGAGGCATTACCTATATGGACTATGCACATGCCCTGGCTTTGCTGGGACTGTGTGAAAGTGCAGATGGAGGTAAGCCTACTCGCCAACTTTGGTGGGGTGGTCCCAGGAGTTATGTCAGGCCAGGCATATCTGCTAATCAGATTTAGTGGGGGCAGGCTGTGTAAGAGTACCAGTTGGGTTTAGTAGGTTGGGCTGAAGGAGTGCTAGGCTGGGGCATGCCTGCTGGCCAGGCTTAACAGGGTGGAGCTATGGGGATGTTTCTGGCTGGGGCATGTGTAACCTGGGGTTTAGTAAGCAATGCAGCAATGGTGCCCAGCAGTGCCTCTGTCTCTGGCACAACAATGTCATTTTAAGTTTTCCTTTCTTCTCTCAATAAAATGAAAATTCAGAGAATTACGACATGACTATACATAGAATATGACAAACTAAGGGCAACTGAGTATCAATGGGATAGACAAGGGAAAAAAATGGGGTTTTCAGTCAGTAGTGGCATATATGTAAAATGACTGATCTCAGACCAGGCTGCTTCTATAAAATGTCACTAATAGAGAAGTTTTTCATGTGCCATGATTTTAAAGATTAACTCATGATTAATTAGGCCTTTTGTATAAGAGAAAAAAACAAATCTAAACAACTTTCTTCTCAAAACAAAAACACACAAGTTAACAAACTATGGTTTCAGAATTTCTCTTCATGAATTACATGTTGTGGATTTTATTCTTTCTGCATAATGTCTACCTCATTTTTAAAAACTGCAAAAAAAAAAAAAAAAAAAAAAAAAAAAAAAAAAAAAAAAAAAAAAAAAAAAAAAAGGAGACCGAATTCTCCAGGTAGCAACCCTTCAAATTAGAACCATCACCCTGCACTAATTTTCAGCAACACACCAATCTTGATGGCAGTTAAAAATTATAAAATGCTTTTTAGATAAAAGTAAATTCACACAGGAAAGAATTATCATGCACAATATATCTCCCCAACCCCTTTTTTAAAAGTCTGTTTATTTAATTTGAGAGTGGGAAGCAGAGGCAGAGAAAGAAGGAGAGAGAGAATTCCAAGCAGGCTCCATGCTGTCAGCACAGAGCCCAACACAGGGCTTGATCACACAAAGCATGAGATCATGACCTGAGCCAAAATCAAGAGTTGAATGCTTCACTGACTGAGCCACCCAGGTGCCTTTTTCCCTTCTTCTGTTTTAAGGAATATATTATGCTGAATTCTTCTGGACACACTCTCCCTTTCAAGGATAAGGCTATTTTTCATTTAGTGATTTAATGAAAAATGAGATGTTAAAATCTATCCTACTAAAATCTAACCTTCAATTCTCATCTACCCCAAAAGAACCAAAGAGAAATCCCAGTTTTAAACAGTTGCCTTTATAAAAGCATCAAGTGTCTATGACTGACTGCCTCTTACATTATGTCTTCTGTGGAATTATACTGTTCCCTGCTGAATTAGCTGTGGATACCATCATTATTTCTGAATGGTAAAGGAACTTAAGTTAAATATTTGATGGTTTAAAAGAGAAAATATTAATAAAAACTTTTATAGCAATATATATACACATGAATATTCAGCCATAAAAAGAATGAAATCTTGCCATTTGCAAAAACATGGATGGAACTAGAGAGTATAATGCTAAATGAAATAAGTCAGTCAGAGAAAGACAAATACCGTATGATTTCACTCATAAGTGGTATTTAAGAAATGGAACAAATGATCAAAGAAAATAAAAGAGAGAGAGACAAACCAAGCTACAGACTCTTAAGTAAGAGAACAAATGGATGGTTACTGGGAGGGTGGGTGAAATAGGTGACATAGATTAAGGAGAACACTTGTGATGAGCACCAGGTGTTGTATAGAAGTGTTGAATCACTATATTGCATACCTGAAACTAATATAACACTGTATTTAACTATACTGGGTCAAAAAAAAAAATAACAACAACAAAATACAACTCACTAGTTTAAAAATAAAAAAAAATCCTTTATGACAAAAACAAAAATTGTTTGGATATTCCTCTAAGGATGAGTAATCACAGACTTAATCAATTTGGGATGGAATTTCTTATTCTTTTGAATAAGATTAATGTCCAGAATAAAGCAATTATACATTTCTTTGTTTTTACGTGCCACTATACCTTTAAAAGGAATAATAATCACATTGAGTTCAGAGATTCATTTGGTTACATTAAATCTGTCTCACACACATAGGTTCTGAATGTACATACTCTGCATTATGAAGCATGATGATCATGATTGGAAAATTCTGTAAACATAACTTAGAGCAATTATAATTTCAAATCAAATTCTTAGAAAGTTTAAGTATAGATTCTCCATACTTGTCTATAAATATTTAGGGACATTCACTAATAATATATGTTTCTCTAAGAATCCGATCTCTAGATGACACTGTTTGGTGCTAAAAGCAACAATAAATCTGATTTTTTCCAGGGAAGCAGTATTGCATCATAAGCCTGGTAGAAAATGTGAGGCTGAATTATCACTAATTCCGAAGTCAACAAATGAATTAATGCACAGAGGAAAAATTATGGATAGATATGATGTGGGAGATAAGAAACAATAAGGGCCAAGAAAGAGAATTAATTGTGATAGGAAGAAAACAATAAGGTATTAAAATTTAGGAAGGATCATATTTATAGAATCTGCAAAGACTCAGGCTAATTATAAATTTAACTATTTTGGTTTACCTACTGGTACCTCTACTTAAGGAAACAAAAAGGAGCTGCAGTACTCAAAGTCACTGATAATGTGATAAAGACACTATTATTATATATATATAAATATACATATATATATATATAAAATCATGTTTGAATTTTCATTGCAATTGTAAACAAGCAACAGTAAGGTAACTCACTGAAAGTCTGCATGTGCTAGGTACTAACTGCTTCATTTATTTTTATCTCATTTAATCTTCACTACAACTACACAACACAGATACAATTAGTACTCTCATCCTAGGCTCAGCTCTTAATCATGAGGGTTTTCAGTCTGAAAATGTAACTGGGTCATTTGTTTTTCAAAAATTTTGGCCTATGAGTGGAGGGTTCTGGGAGATAAAGGCTTCTAGTTATGGAATGAATAAGTCATGGGAATAAAAGGCACAGCATAAGGAATACCGCCAGTGGTTTTGTAACAGTGTTGTGACAGGTGGTAGCTACATTGTGAGAATAACATAAGGTACAAACTTGTCAAATCACTATGTTGTACACCTGAAATTACCATAACATTGTGTGTCAACTATACTCAAATACAGAAATAAAATAAAAAATAAATTCAACTTATTTCCAGGAAAAAAACACAAAAAAGAAAGGGTACCAATCATTCTGTCCTTTGTATATGCCTCTATTATTGAATGTAATACATTGTACTGCAATTACTTGCTTATAAGCCTGTCTCCACCTCCAGAATGGAAAACTTCTTAACTGTAAGGATCATGTGTAATTGCACATAAATAAGGCTCAGTTAATATTTAATGAATTGATTATTAAATTGCAGTCATTAAAAGAAAAAAATTTTGGCCTTTTAACAATAAAGTTTTGTTGAATCAAAAATGAGCTTTGTATTTTAGATTAGATGTTCACCTCTGTCCTACAGAAATTAAATCTATGGAAGACAACAGGTATTCTAAACAATTGGTAATTCAGGTACAGGGTAAAGAAACAGGAACTAAGCTCAACATGTTCCTTATTTAAGGCACTCTACCATATTTAGGTGCTATTCAGTTAGCGAAGTATCAAAGTGCAGATATTTTTACAATATTTTTCACTTAATTTCCATACCTTCCGGATGTATTCTTCAGTATGGCAAGAGCATCTGGATAGCCATCCATGTTGTAGTCTCCAATATGAAGGGTAATTGGAATTGGTATTTCTGTTGGTCGTTGTTCATGCACAAATGGCACAAAGCCCCAGAGTGTGCCCTTGTTGCTGAACTCCCGTAGGACTGGAACCCACTATGGAATCAAGAGGGAAAAGGTCAGATTTTATAGTTACTTGAGAAAAAAAAATTCACCATTTGCAAAACAAATGATCCATTAAAAGTCCTCAAGATAAGCGTCATCTTACTTCAATTTCTTTATCTCTACAATATGCTAGAGTATTATAATTTACTTTTAAGAACAGTAATTGACACTCTGGAAAAGTAAAGTCCCCTTTAAAATTCATTACTAGTGATTTTTTCCTTAAACTGGCACATAGAGCCTTTGAAGGTTTTTCACAAAATCACAGACTCTTACGTTTGAACTGATGCTGATTCTGATAGTTGAATCCCCCATTTTAAACCTGTGTTGAGTGGAAATGTAATCTCAAGTGAGTATTTTTTAAAAATTACAGCAAACTGTAATATCATCTAATACTGATGTCCTTTTAGGAGGACCAGCTTAGGAAGAAAGTTAGAAGATGACGGAGTCTCCCTTGTTCCCCTGCTTTGCCTCTTATACATGATGATGACTTCAGTTATCATCTTCAGAGCCAAGAGTTCTGAGGCTTTCCTAATAACACCAGCACCAGCCCTGAGCTGGTGCCTGCCCAGCTCTGAAGAAGCTCTGCCTGCCCAGGGGGGATGAGCTTTGTCACCAAAACAGCTGGAAGCTACATTTTTAGTAAATTTTTTATTTCTATATTGATTATAATGAAGAGAACAGAGAGAATAGGGTTGATTTCAAAAACAGCTTTTGGGAATCCATTTCTTTTTTGAATGCCCTAATCTTTACTTTTGATAACCTAATGCAAACTAAAATCTGAAGAGTGGAAATCATACCATTAAAATTATAACTATGCCCATAATTAGTTAAGAGCATGAATACTGGCATACACTCTGAAGATATGCAAATAGGTGCAGCCGGCTTGAAGTGACAGTAGGACAAACGACTAAATATATTTTTTTTAAGCAGGTGACTCTTTATGTGTCTCCAAGTCAAACTATACTAAAAATGGCTTCTTGGAAAGGGTTTAGTACAGAGAGTATCCCATACATTTTCTAGGTTTTCCAAAGAAAGCATATTTTGTCAAGGAAAAAGAAAAAAAAATAGCTAATAGAAAACATATTTATAGAAAACAAGCTGTTTAGGGGCGCCTGGGTGGCGCAGTCGGTTAAGCGTCCGACTTCAGCCAGGTCACGATCTCGCGGTCCGTGAGTTCGAGCCCCGCATCAGGCTCTGGGCTGATGGCTCAGAGCCTGGAGCCTGTTTCCGATTCTGTGTCTCCCTCTCTCTCTGCTCCTCCCCCGTTCATGCTCTGTCTCTCTCTGTCCCAAAAATAAATAAACGTTGAAAAAAAAAAATTTTTAAAAAAATAAAAAAAATAAAAAAAAAAAAAGAAAACAAGCTGTTTAAAAAAACTTATTTACATCTTTAATCAACTTTTCAGTCTTCCCTAGAAGGAAAAAAGTATTATGTAACATCAACATGTTTTAATGATTCACTTGACTTTGAAAAAAATAGTTTATTTTGGAAGAAGATGGGAAATTTCACAAAGTGCCAAGTTATCACAAATTTCTGAAGAGGTTGACAGATTATTAATGAGGATAAAATATTCCTATTAAGGTAAACATATAAGGTCTAAAAAGTAAAAAGATTTTTTATTAATATGACATCCTTATGAGTCACTAAAGAACTGTGGCATTTATTTTCCCAGAGAGAGATTACTGTATAATTTGAAAATATTCTCATAGTAGTCTGTCACTTGAAGCCAGGCTATAATTACTGTGTTTACTTATACATATGAACCAATTATTAGGTGTTACTTGACCTCATGTTTTCAGTAATTCAAAACTTTAAAAACTTTAGGATAATAAAACTTATGGGTATAGTAAATGTTTATAGACTGTTGACTGAAGATTTTTCTTTAGTGTCTTAGTATAAAATGTGGTTTCTCACGTATAAGGGCGATAAAAGTCAATATGTTATTCTATCATTTATCACCCTAAGATAAAAAACAAAGCTGATTAATTCTGCTACTATATTACTGGCTTTCTTTTTCTAGTGCTATCAATATGGAAGAATTCTCAGTGTTACAAACTATCATTCCCACATTAATCTTCTGCTATGACTATCAGATTCTAAATTGTTTACCTATAAGCCACAGGTAAAAAGTCAGCATGAGAGAATGAAACTGATTTATATGCCACAAATAAAGACAAGATTAGCCTTGACAATAGATGTGATGTTATTTTCCATAACCTTTTATTATAGTTGCAGTGCATTTTATCATATTCCGGCCTATAAAATGCTAATGGATCATTTAATTATAGGAACAATAATAGGTTTTCTTCACCAGAAATGATTGTAACAGTGCTTTCCCCCCTCAATAAACAAACACAAGATTTATATGCCTTTCATTAAATTAAAATGAGGAAGTCAATGATTTACATTTGGTTTCTCTGTGTGTGATTCTTCAGATACTTTTTCAAATCTCTGAAGATTTTCTTCAAGAAGGTAACTCTACTGACATTAAAAAACGAGCTGGTATACCTGCTTTGTTCCAGATTTTGCTAAGTAAATGATGCTTTTCTGGCAGTTTTTATCTTCACAGCCTGGCAGTAAGTGATCCATGTGTCCATCTCCATCTGCCAAAAGAAACTTTGAGAGTCCATTAACAGCTACAAAATAAAGTGTGCTTGTACAGCAGGTTACATTTCCTATTTGGTCAAAGTCTGTGTCAATCTGCATAAATGGAAGAATGTGACGGATGACTTTGTAATAAATGTGATTCAATTAAAACAATTACTCTGCCCCTTGCTACCTATTACCTGGATTGTATCTTGTTTTATTTTTATTTTAAAAAATTTTATTTATTCTTGACAGAAAGAGCGTGAGCATAAGTGGGAAAGGGGCAGAGAGAGAGAGGGAGAGAGAGAATCCCAAGCAGGCTCTGCACTGTCAGCTCAGAGTGTGACGCAGGGCTCAAACCTACAAACTGAGAAATCATGACCTGAGCTAAAATCAAGAGTCAGACTCAACAGACTAAGCCATCCAGGTGCTCCTAGATTTATCTTGTTTTAAATTGCTCACTTTAAAATATTTTTTTTCAACGTTTTTTGAAACGGGGCAGAGAGAGAGGGAGACACAGAATCGGAAACAGGCTCCAGGCTCCGAGCCATCAGCCCAGAGCCCGACGCGGGGCTCGAACTCACGGACCGCGAGATCGTGACCTGGCTGAAGTCGGACGCTTAACCGACTGCGCCACCCAGGCGCCCCAAAATTGTTCACTTTAATGTAGTTAAAAATTTATCCAATGTTGGAAAAAGACCCCATTTTCAGGCTTCAATGTTAAAATCATCAATTTTTAAACAACATGGGTTTTGATTTATTTACATAATTATCATAGCTGCCACAGGAGAAAAACAAGCATGTCAATAGTAACTCGTTATTATATGGCTTATTTTAAATGTGTCTTTACACATATTCTTAAGTGTCTTTTATATAGTATGAACTTCAATTTAAGAGTTATAAAGCTCTCAGCCCCCTGGCTTCTAAAAAGCACCAATTAATTTTTATCAATAAAAAGGCAAATGAAGAGAATACAGATGTCATTTCTGGCTGACTGGTTAAAAAACTGCATAGTGTTTTGCGAAGACCTTCAGAAATGAGGTTACTGAGGCACCTGGGTGGATCAGTCATTTGAGCATCTGACTTCAGCTCAGTTCATGGTCTTGCAGTTTGGGGGTTCAAGCCCCATGATGGGCTCTGTGCTTACAGCCCAGAGCCTGGAAGTTGCTTCAGATTCTGTGTCTCCCTCTCTCTCTGACCCTCCCCCACTTGTGTTCTGTCTCTCTCTCTCAAAAATAAATATTAAAGAAAATTAAAAAAAAAAAAATAGAAATGAGGTTACTGAGGAACCTCTCTCCTATCTACTGCCCCTTACCTGATAGAGTTTACTGCAGTTTATAGATTTTTATGTCTCTACAGTGACATGCACAGTGGAATAGTCATTTGGATTTTAAATTTTGTGTTGCTTTATTCACTGACTTATTTGCTATGGTTTAATATACAGTGTGTGTCTGAGGTAAGTACCTTCAGATGGAAGGAGATAATAAGGATTAACAATAAAGAAATATTCATCCTTGTGTACACTTACATATTAAGAGAAATACAGAATTTAAACAAGCCTATCAAGTCTTCAGTAATATATTCACAAAGGAAAAAAGAATTTTAGGCTGAGTGGGTTGAAAATCTAGCCAATGGAAGCTGACCTCAGCAAGGAAAAAGGCACAGCATAGTGAAAAATAAATTTCTTTCATTTAATTTCATGGTTTAATTACTTATGATCCTTATGATTAATATCATTTGTGATAATATACCCTTACACAGAGGAGTAAAACATCAAATAAAATAGATGAATTGACAACGGAAAGTATAGAGAACATCTGTGATTTGACAATGTATAGATTTGGATTACTGAGAAAGAAGCTGAGAGAAAGAGGTACAACTCTAGACAAATACTTGGAAAGGAGAAGACTTTCCAAGGGCATAAACATCTGTCATCATTAAAAAAAAGAATAAAAAAGAGCCAGGTAAGTAAGAATGAGTTAAGTGAAAAATGTGATTTATAAGTAGGTTCTAGTAATATCATCAACATCATTAAAAGCCAAACCATTTTATCGCAAATTAATGGGGGACCAATTAGAAGACCATTGCCAAGTCTCTGCCCTTCATTTTTACCCAATGGCAAAATACTCAGATTAGATTCTGATTTACACTTTGATTTCCCCCTAGTTGGTCTTTCTTCCAAGTAGTTTCCTATTTCCTACAAGTATTTCAACCATGACTTAGCTGATACTTAATGCTGGCAAGTAACCATCTAATAAACATAAAATAAACTCAAGTGATAACTCATATCTTTTAGTATAAATTATCAGCAATATTTTATAGATATGGTCTTAGAAATTGAGAACTTAATCATTGAGAATGCTCCTTGTACCCTCTCTAGGTGCTATTTTTTGATATTTAGGGAAACAGAGAAGCTTTCTGAGAGTTCAACTTCACATCCAGAGGAAAGTTTTCTTTCTTAAAGAAAACAAACATTTAAATCACATGTTTCACTTTTCTGCAGGTTGTCTGTTACATTTTATTTGAAAATAATTTAAACTTAAAATTACAATAATAAAAATAGTGGATGGAATGCCTGTAAACCCTTTATCCAGATATTCCTATTGTTACCATTTCACCCCATTTGTTTTAACATTTGTATGCTCTATGAAATCAATCTTCTGCTGAACTACATACATAATTACATACATTATGGCCCTTTACCCCTAAATAATTGAGTGTTTGTTTCCTAGGAAAAGGGATATTCTCTGACATAACCACAGTAGTTACCAGTTCATCAATTCACACAAATACTTTTACCTAATGTACTATCTATATTCCAATTTTATCCATTGACTTAACAATGTCCTTTATAGCATTTTTGCCTCTTACCTATCTAATATAGGGGTAGGAATTGCATTTAGTTTTTTTTTTTAAGTTTATTTATTTATTTTGGGAGAGAGAGAGAAAGAGAAAGAACACACACTAGCGAGGGAGGGGCAGAGAGGGAGTAAAATCCCATGCAGGCTCTGTGCTATCAGTGAAGAGCCTGATGTGGGGCTAGAACTCACCAAATGTGAGATTGTGACCTAAGCATCAAGAGTCAGATGCTTAACCAACTGAGCCACCCAGGCACCCCTGCATTTAGTTTTTAATTTTTAGCCCTCTTTAATCTAGACTATTTCCATAGCCACTGTTTTATAATCTGCATAACCTTTTTATCTCAGACTACAGTAGCCTTTTACTCAAAAAAAAAAAAAAAAAAAAAAAAAAAAAACCAACTTCCTCTTTTCCATAATTTTATCTTCTAATTCACCTATTCTCTCCTCTGCCTCTTCAATCCGTGCTATGGCTGCCTCCATTTTATTTTGCACCTCATTTATAGCATTTTTTAGCTCCTCATGACTATTTCTTAGTCCCCTGATCTCTGTAGCAATAGATTCTCTTCTGTCCTCTATGCTTTTTCAAACCCAGCAATTAATTTTATGATTATTATTCTAAATTCTTGTTTCATTATATTGCTTAAATCGTTTTTGATGAGTATTGAGGAGGGCACCTGTTGGGATGAACACTGGGGGTTGTATGGAAACCATTTTGACAATAAATTTCATATTAAAAAAAATAAATGTTTTAAAAAAATAAATAAAATAAAATATAAAAAAATAAAAAACAAAACAAAACAAAACTTTAATAATACTTTAACTTTTGTACCTAGGGAAGGAAATAGTTTCAGAAAAATAAATTTTACATGAATCAAAGGCCCAGGACTAGGAAATAATATTGATTTAAGCAAATTCTCTAAGAATAATGTGATTTTGAGTAGACTACGAAGAAATCATGCTGATAGAGGTTCCAGTCTGTGAGGTTGGACACATTCTTTAAAAAAAAATTCTTTTTAACATTTATTCAGTTTTTGAGAAACACAGAGAGACAGAGTGTGAGCGGGGGAGGGATAGCGAGAGAGAAAGACACAGAATCAGAAGCAGGCTCTAGGTTCTGAGCTGTCAGCACAGAGCCCAATATGGGGCCTGAACCATGAAATCATGACCTGAGCCTAAGCCAGCCACTTAACCAAGCCACTCAGGTGCCCAAACTTGGATACATTCTTTAAAGAAGTCCCAGGAATTGGTATCTTTGTATTCCCCTCTCCCCAGGACTTCAGTACACTACATATCTCAAGTTTTCTTGAAGGCTAACATCACTTCTCAAAGACTCAACAGAAAATATAACAGAAGGAATGGTATTTTGATTATTTTATAAACTGCAGTGTAAAAATTGACCTTTGGAATGGCTGACCACTAGAGACTACAGTGCACATTGAACACATGTTAATTTCCATTTGATGCTGACTTTAGCCAATTTTCAAATGAAATTCTCCCTTAAAAACAGATAAGTAACTTACTGAAATAAATGTAATGATTCAAACAGATTTTTCTAAGACATTTTAACTTTAAAACCAAGAAGACACTAAAATTAAGTTACTGTTTTCATAAAAATGTATAATGAACTTTTATATAATAATTTTTATTTTTAATTAGCAGGGGATTAAGAAGATATACATAAGAAAGGGTAACATATATATTACTTGTCTTCTTAAAAATTTATAATATTTCAGTCTCTTGAAGTTAAGTGACCTTTGGTATCATTTAAAAAAATTACAATTCATTGTTCTGGCCCCAGATCACATATTACCTATCCAACTTCGAACAGCAGTTTCTCTAATGCAGTGATTCTCAAAGTGGAGTCTCAGTCCCCATAGCCTAAGTATCACCTGGGAACTTGTTAGAAATGTGAAATCTTAAGCCCCTGTCCAGATCTAATGAATCAGAACCTTGGAGAGTGGGGCCAAGCAATCTGTGTTTTCATACGCTTTCTGGTTGATCTTGATGCATGGGAAGGTGTGGGAACCACGGCGCCAAGGTATTTACAATGGTCTCCCAGGGGTACCAGGGGGTGCTACATGGATCCCTACTTCTGTCCTGAATAAACTCCTCTTGCTAATCAAATTCCATTAGCTGCCTCCCCCCATTTTTTTATG